GAGAATTAAAGCTCGTCCACGGCGACCTTTGCGGGCCCGTGACGCTGGCGACTCCAGGCGGACGGCGCTACTTCCTCCTGATGGTGGACGACGCGTCCCGCTTCATGTGGGCCGTCCTGCTGCCGTCCAAGGATGCCACCGCGGATGTCTTGAAGAGGGTCAAGGCCGCGGCGGAGAAAGAGAGTGGTCGCGAGCTCCAAGTGCTGCGCACCGACAACGGTGGCGAATTCACCGTTGCGGAGTTCGCCGACTACTGCACGGGGGAAGGCATCCAACGCCACTTCTCGGCGCCTCACTCGCCGTAGCAGAACGGCGTGGTGGAACGCCAGAACCAAACTGTGGTGGCCACCGCCCAGGCGCTGCTGAAGCAAAGGAGGATGCCGGCCAAGTATTGGGGGGAGGCGGTGATGACGGCAGTTCATCTGCTCAATCGCTCGCCGACAAGGAGCTTGCAAGGCAAGACCCCCTACGAGGCTTGGCACGGGCGCACGCCGGCGGTGAGTCACCTGAAGACCTTCGACTGCGTCGCGTACACCAAGGACCTGGGCCAGCTCCGCAAGCTTGATGACCGCGGCAAGCCCGGCGACTTCATTGGCTACGCGGAAGGGGCCAAAGCGTACCACATCCTCGATCCGTTGACGCAGCGGGTGAAGGTCAGTCACGACGTCGTCTTCGATGAAGGGCGCGACTGGGACTGGTCCACTCCGGACGCCGGCAGCTCGGCCTCGGTGGCAAGTGACTTCGTCGTCGAGTATTGGGTACCTGGAGGAGCCGGAGGAGCACAGGGTGCTACCCCAGTGGCAGCCGGAACATCGCCGGCGCCATCATCTCTCGCCATCACCAAGTCCGGGGGAGCCCGGAGGGACATCGGCGGCGGCGGCTACTCCACCAACGTCCCAACCGACCTCGCCGGCACCATCACCAGCAACTCCTGCTGCGCCTACCGCTTCACCAACCTCACCGGCGGCGGCAGTTGAGTCTGGTAATCAAGTGGAGTTCGCCACTCCACTGGAGGATGATGAAGACAGACTCAACGCCTACTACGACAACGAGCCGCTGCGGTACCGCACCATGACGAACATCATCGGTGATCATCCTTCACCCCCGCCTCAACGCCTTTTCGCTGAGCTACACCTGACGCACGCCGGCGAGCCTGCCAACTTCGCCGAGGCCAAGGATGATCCGGCATGGTGGGCGGCAATGGAGCAAAAGCTCAAGGCGGTGGAGCAGAACCGCACCTGGGAGTTGCGCTAGCGCGTCCACCACATGGATGTCAAATCCGCCTTCCTCAACGGCGACCTCAAGGAGGAGGTGTACGTGCAATAGCCACCAGGCTACGCCGTCGCCGGAGAAGAGGGGAAGGTCTACCGCCTCTGCAAGGCTCTCTACAGTCTGCGGCAGGCTCCACGCGCCTGGAACGCCAAGCTGGATGCCACACTCAAGGAGATGGGCTTCCAGTAAAGCGCTCACGAGGCGGCGATGTACCGGCGGGGCAGTGGACGCTCTGTCCTGCTCGTCGGCGTCTACGTCGACGACTTGATCATCACTGGCGCGGAAGAGCGAGAAGTGGAGGCGTTCAAGGCTCAAATGAAGAAGACCTTCGACATGAGCGACCTCAGCCTCCTCAGCTTCTACCTCGGCGTCGAGGTGCATCAAGATGCCACCGGGATCACTCTTCGGCAGACCCACTACGCCAAGAGGATTCTGGAGCTCGGGGGAATGGCTGGCTGCAGCCCTGCCCATACTCCAATGGAGGAACGACTAAGGCTTAGTAGGCACAGCACGGCCGCAGAGGTCGACCCCACTCACTACCGGCGCCTCATCGGCAGTCTGCGCTACCTGGTGCACACTCGTCCCGATTTGCCGTTCGACGTCGGCTTCGTCAACCGGTTCATGGAGCGGCCTACGGTGGAGCACCAAGGAGCTGTCAAGCGCATCCTTCGCTATGTTGCCGGCACGCTCGACTACGGTCTGCACTTCACCAAGGCGCTCGGCACAACTCGCTTCGTCGGCTACTGCAACAGCGACCTCGTCGGCGACATCGACACAAGCAAGAGCACGAGCGGAACACTGTTCTTCCTTGGCAATTGCTTGGTCAGCTGGCAATCGATCAAGCAGAAGGTGGTGACGCTCTCCAGCTATGAAGCCGAGTACATTGCCACCTCTACTGCTGCAACTCAAGCTCTGTGGCTCTCAAGGCTGCTAGCTGAACTCCTCGGCAGACACGTCGAGGTGGTGGAGCTAAAGGCTGCTAGCTGAACTCCTCGGCAGACACGTCGAGGTGGTGGAGCTAAAGGTGGACAGCAAGTCTGCCCTCGCCCTGACCTAGAATCCAGTCTTCCATGAGAGAAGGAAGCACATCAGGATCAAGTACCACTTCATCCGCAGCTGCCTGGAAGATGGAAGCATCAAGGCCGATCACATTTTCACTACTGATCAGCTTGCAAACATTCTCACCAAGTCACTGGGCAAGGCCAAATTTGAAGAGATGATGGGGAGAATTGGCCTGAAGCAGATCATCCCCAAGATGCACAAGGCTAAGGGGGAGAACTGAGGGTGTTAGCCTAGTGCTGAACCCCATTCTGTATCTAGTTACCTATTACTATTTACTATTCACTGTAAGGTAGTTTTCAGGTTCCTTGGCAACCAAGTTGATCATGGTGCCTTGGCAACCAAATAGAATTATAGCATCTGCTTTTAGGCAGTTAGAATATGCCAGGTAGTAGGTACATCACTTGCCTATATATGCAGTGGTTAGCATCTTCTTTGTAACTAAGTTATCACCTGCAATTTCAATACAATCCAAGCGGCCTGTTGGCCAAGCTGCCCTCTGGCAGCCCCCAATTCACTTGTGTTCTAGTTCATGTTTGCAACAAATGTTAAAGTTCAATGCCTAAAATTATAGCAAGATTAAAGAGCAGTTACTCAAAGAATGGCGTCTTAACCATATCAATGCATCATCTCCTATAGACTTGTACAATCAGGAGTGCATTAACCACCTCTGTTGTCACCTTGCAGCAACCCACACATAACACTTCGAAGAGCACCTGTGAGAAGTTCAACACCGAGGACAGTGTGCCAGGGTTCCGGGTAGAGCCGCGGGCATTGCCAACCTCAATGCAGGTTCCTGAATGTGGAACCACATGGAATAACACAGGGGGTTACGCTGATCATCGTTCGGTTCTCGGTCGTGTTTACAGCTCTGTTCGTGTTGCGAGGAAGAAAGGATCATCAAATTCAAATATACCGCAGTATGACGCTGCAGATTTGAGGAATGGTATTGAGATTACTGATCACAACCAGCAAGCAGATAGGCCTGTCTCTTCTCAGAAGAAGGACCAGCAGGAGGTTAGTACTCTACTTTTTTTTTTTTTTTTTTTGGGGGGGTAACGTTAGTACTCTACTGTTAGGAATGCAGACTACACTAGGCATTTCTTTCATTTCACTTCAATTTGTATCTTATGTATGTGAGTTGTTGTGATCAGGACCATGGAAGAAAGTACAAAAGGATCCACTACTCTGGGCCATTGATGCCACCAGGTGGGAACATCGATGAGATGCTCAAGGAGCATGAGAGGCACATCCAAGAAGCGGTGCGCAAAGCGCGCCTCTCTAAGGGAAGCAAATAGCTAGGAGAGAACATAGAGCAGCTGAAGGTCCTAGGAGAAGATGAAGCAGGGTTCAATGGTGCGGCTGACTGTTTTAGCACTAGGAATGCCAAAATAGCACTCATCAGCAAAACTGTCATATCGAGCTGTTGCAAGAGTTGTGACATGTAACATGGTCAGGCTAGGATAAAAAAAACATGGTCAGGCTATATTGGTCAATACCATTGAAGATTAGTAAGATGGAAGCATCATAATATAACAGAGCATGAGTGGATTACATCGCAAATATCAGTAAGTTCATAGGTAGGATCATCTTTTAAAATTGAAAAGTGCAGAGAAATCGTGAAGGGGAATTGCAGAGCCTGGGTCAATAGATTTTTTCCCCATTATTTTGTAAAGAGGAGCACAAGAATTTAGTTTTTTTTTGTAAGTTTTGATGCAGTTATAATGTTGCCACTGTAAAGTTGTTCATCCATTTTTCTGACAACTCTGGATTATGAAAAATAACAGGAGCTGGATTTGAAATTCAAACGAACAGTCTCATGGCTCTTCAAGACCTGATCGCAGCATGAGGATGAAGCAGCTAGAACAGCATGATGTGTATAAGGATACTTAAATTCTTATCGAATGAGGATGAAGCAGCTAGAACAGAATGAGGATGAAACAGCTAGAACAGCATGATGTGCATGGTGTCTATCACGAGCATCAGATAGTAAGTGGAAAAACTTACAATCTGAAAAGGTGGAATCGGCATTTCGAAATTGAAAGTTTGGAAGAAAACCATTGCTGTGGCTCCTAAAAAAAAAAAAGTCACTGTTCATAGCTTTGGAAGTTTATGTAAAAGGATTGCTAAGCCATATCACCAGCTAAAACTTGAACACATTTGTTAAGGGAGTAAATAAATCTCAGTTTCTTTGTACTCACAGATTTACCACAACAGTGGTGGTGTCTTGTAACATTGTAGCACACCACTAGCGAACTGTTTAAGCTATGAACATTGTGGATGGAGTAACACTACAGATGAATTTCACAAGTTCTGGATTCCATCAAACTCAGTATGTTCATACAACAGGCAACATCGGTTCTCTATGCACTGACATTTGCAGAAGAATCACGACTGATACGAATTGAGTGATTTTCCATAGAAAATTGACACAGCCAACAGAAGCCCACCACAAACGTCAACCTTCAGGAATACAAAGCCGTAGGGTGGGAACACCAGAGGATTTCTTTTCTTTCCTCAAGTGTTTTTTTTTTTTAGATCAAGGGTTTGGGAACACTGGTAACAGAAAACTAAGAGTTAGCAGAGAGATCAGTTGCAAAGAGATAGTGAAAAATAACAAAAATGAACCTAGTGCCAGTATTCACCTACCATTTTTGAAGCAGTGAGGCTTAGTTCTCACTGGGACCAAATTGTTTCTGTATATCACTGAATGATATGGTCGCAGAACCCCTTCTCTTAGTCTTTTGCTGTGATGGATGCTCCCTCCAGCCAGTCATGTAAATTACCTGCGCAAAAAAGAAAATATTTGGCAATCAGTAGCCCAGTTTGTGTATCATTTAGAGGGATTAATTATCTCTAGCCCAGATCAATTCGATTTTGCTGGAAAAAAAAGGATTTTGCTGAATCAGTTCAGGTTCAAATAAAGGTAAAGTGTGTTGTGCTCTACTCTAATGAGGCAAGTACAGAACTTGAAAGGTTGCAGGAATAGATCCGTCTTCTAACCCAAACATTGACTGGTAAATTGCTGCCGTTGCCAAGGCTGTATCCCTTTTCAACACCTGATAACACAAAATCATTCCAAGTTCAATTACTAGGATAACTAAAACAATTAGATTCAGACACTTTTTGATAAGCGAGTATGATATGTAAGATACTCACAGGATTTCTTTGAAAGAGAGCATTTGTTTCCCCCATTGCTCTAAGATGTTCAACAAGTTCCAAAGCTAGTTGACCAAAGTAGCAAAAACATCACCATGGGTAGGTAACCCGTAAATCTCCATAATCAAAGTCAGCATATTTCTTTGATACTGGGTGAACTCTTATAGCATATATTATTTCTAAACTGAATATAGGAAGGACTATTGCTATCTGATAGATGTACAGCAATCACACAAAAACCAAGCATAAAAGTTGAAATACATGTTTATTCTACCATCATGTAATATTGTAAGGAAAAGAGAAGTTGGACAATACACATCACTATTTTGTTTCAAAAAAAAAATACACATCACTATAAGAAATTTAGGTTTTATTTTTCTACAAACCATTATTGTATTCAACGGTATACTGATCAACATCAACTCCTGGAAGGGTGAAACCTGCCCTTGTCAAAAGGTTTCCTGCATCACGGACCTTGAAAAGTGCAATAAAAAAGCCACAGTTAAAACAAATGGACATATAACAGGATAAGATAGAGTAGTTGTATGCATGTAAGATTCATTCTGACTGTGGTAAAAGTCTGCATAGTCTATTGAAATAGTGACTTTACCATGAAGTGGTATAACAAATATGTAAAGGGAGTACAAACAAATATCCTTATCAAAATTCAGAACATAAAGTAGCCATACTTGTGCTAAAGGGGACATTCGAGGACTGATGCCTCCTTCGCGTTCCATTTGAGCAACTGTGCATGCAATTCTAAGCTCCCTACAACAACAACAACAACAACATAGCCTTTAAGGAAGTAAAAAAATCGAGGCAAGATAAGGAAGTAAAAAAAAAATGACAACAAATGGAAAATTCAAGTTTTGTCTACAATTTGACAGGTTATCACTTCAGTGTTTCTCCACCAAGAATTGCTGCCAGAAAAAGGCCATCAGGTTGCAACGCTAGCCTACACTGCAAGGAAAAGGTAACAGTTAACCAGCTATCGATAGTCAAGGTATTCCTTTTTTGTAAATAACTGACCATTATAGGAACATAGTAATATAAACTGGCTCAGGTTACCTGTATCATTGCTCCAGGTAGATCATTTGTCCAATGAAGTCCAAGACAGCTTATTATCAAATCCTGTGAACTTCAGAACCCATGAACCACACTAATGAGTGAATGTTGCAAGATCTGCCTGTGTGTTTATGATTATGCTTTTGATACTACAAGTGACTCACTCAGGCACAAGAATAAAAAATCACACAAGCATGAAGCAATTACATTTTTTTTCTCATGCATCATGTATGCTATGATCTATAAGCAAGGTGGGAGGAGAGAAGTTGAAAGCTGAACTGCTGAAGGAAAGAATACTGTTTCTTTTTTTGCAAGAGAATTGGAAAGATAAACATCTGCTTTTTTTTCATATTCAATTCTATATGTTATAAATTTTAAGTCGTGGTCGTTCAACTGCACAAAATCACCTGTGTACAGCTGGCAGTTGATTGGCAGACCCCATGGGAGGTACATTGCAATCTCGGCAAAGTAGTTGTGGGTTTTGTACATTTTACTCTCAATATCATGAATACAGTACATGAAATTGAAACCACCAAGAAAGTGAAGTCACCTCTCTTTGATTGGAAGGAACTCCTCATCACCGACAACAAAGTGCGTCTCAGGTTCGTCACCAGTGGCATTCTCTGACTCTCGCCACTTCTTCACCATGTCGGCTGACATGTCCATCATGATCAACCTCTCAATTCCACCTGCGACAAAGGCATTCAGTTCATTTCCGTGCAAAATTGGTGGAATCTTGATGGCGGCATGGCGCGATCTGGTGACGAGTACAAAATAAAGAAGCGCACAAGAAGACTCGGAGCAGGATGCAAGGTGGCTCACCGCGGCCGCGGAGCAAGTGGCGGACGGCACCGGCGGAGCCCCCTAGGCAGAGCGCGGAGGGGAAGGCTTTCCTGCAGTCAGGAGATTTTCGGCGACGGCATCCACGAGCCCGTCGGTCTCACGCATCGCCCACGCCGCGCGGTCCCGGTGCCGGCGCTTCAGGTCGCGGTCGAAGATCTTGACGCGGCCGCCGCCACCGCTGTCGTCGAGGCCGTCGGCAGCGGAAGAGGAAGAGAAGTGGCATTTGGGGAGAAGGTGATCATGGCGGTGGCGGAGGAGGAGAAGGCGGCGAGCGGCGGCGGCCGAGGAAGCCATCGGGACTCGGGAGCACCGGCGATGGAGGAGATGCTGCCACGATTGCTGGGAGCCTTTTGGGCCTCGTTATTGGGCTTTTCTCGAGCACAAAATCCTAACTGGGCTACTTTGTTTGTTTTAACCTTTTTTTATATTCTTGTTTATAATTTTGTTTTTTTAAATGAGCAAAACATCTGGTTTTTACTTAGTACCGAGACATAATATAGATCTAGACAGTAAAAATCATGTACATAAAAAAGTCAAGACCATTTACAATCGAATGGAGTAGTATTTAGTTAATTACTGATGAACTAAGGCAAGTGTGTGCTTGCGTGCACTATTGCAGAAATGTTATCATCACTGGCTCATAACCTTCCAGCACCACAGGTTTTGACCCTTGACAATGATATATCATTGATGATGATCATGGTTATCACCGTAAAAAAGCAAAAAAAAAAAATCTCGAGGAAAGACACCCTCATGATCACAAGTCACAAAGTCATGTGGTTTTCGCGCAGTGGCGGATCCACCAATCTGGCGAGGCCTGGCGGCCGCCAAACCTCCCCGCCGGCGAGACTACCCACCCTCGCCGCTCCCTCAGTCATGGCCGGCGGCACCAGAAGAACACGAAGCCGAGGAAGACGAAGGTCCAACTGTCGAAGCGTTATTTTCACTCGAGTCTTGACCGCACCTGGGCTGGGCCTGTACCCGTCCGCATGAAGCCCATGTAGTAGAAGGTCTGCCTGTGCGTCTAGCTCCGTGGTCGTGGGCGTCGTTTCAGTTTCCAATCTCACCTCCGTTCAGTTCAGCGCCTCCTGCCCTGCTGCTGTGTGCCTGTGCCGACGGCCGACGGCGATTGCACATTTGCACGTATGCACTGCTGGCCTGCTAGGAGTACGCTGCTCTGCTGCTGCTGGAAAGTTAAGCGATGGATAGTTCTGATGCAGCAGCAACACAAAGGGGAAAAAGAGAAAAGGTAAGTGAAATTGATTGAACCTATTGCGAATTTGATTGGCCTGTACTTCAGCAGTTGCTTTACTGAATTTCTTTAATTGATAGTTGTAGGCTTGAAGAGATACTTTAATTGATAGTTTGGTTTCATCTTTTAGAGTTTAGAAACATCAATTATGAGACTGTGACATGGTTTATGGATATATATATAAGTATATCGTTGTTTTCCATGCTATTATCTTCTATATTTCTATAAAATCGCTTCGTGAAAAAATTAGCGGTCCAAAGTTCGCCATAGGTCATTTTTTGTCCTGGATCTGCCACTGTTTTTGCGTCACTTGGCATATGGGAGATGAGGAGACTCTGCTTTGGTGGAGAAGCTCCCAAAGTAGACACATTAGTGACTAGGAGAGCGGGGTGACAAGTGTTGAGCCTTAGTGGCTTACGACACCCGTCTTGGTTAACGGTGGCTTCTGTTCCTTACCCAACACTGCGTCTCGAGGTAAGGCTTGGTGACCCGGATCATATCCTTTGTGGAGCACCAATGCGGACTAAGGGTTGTGTTTTGATAACCAATATCACAAGACAAATCTTCATCTCCAGGAGTTTGCCCTCTCTTGACTTGCTCTTTACCTTACACACTTAAGCTACCGCATTGTGCTTGTTTTGTGTGGCCTTTATTTTTCCTAGATTAACATAAGCTACTTGTAGGATTATCTCTAGGTTACAAAACTCTTTATAGATTGGTTAAGATAGAGCACACTAGACAAACCTAAGGTGCACATCATGCTAGTTCATTTATGTTGTTTCTAGTGGAGAAGTTGAGCTCGATCAGGTGTTAGTTATTAAGTGACTCAATTTTCCTCCTCTTGGGCTCATGCGCCCCTTCAGTAGTGGGTGAGGGGAAGAAGAAGAATATCTAAGCTATTTATTTGTTAAACAAGGATTATGAGAGCAAATAGGTCTCGGAAAATTGTGATAGATTGATATGGGTACAGAGAGTACATTATATAGGCAAGGATCAGGAAGGGTTTATAGAAACACCTAATCAACGGTGATCCTTGCCTAATTAATAATCATCTACCATAATCCCTAGAGACAGCCCAACCAATAGGCTTGGGCGACAGGCCCATGGCCAACCCATAGACGCCTATTCTAACACGTCCCCACAGTCGAATCGTCAGCCACTCTGCACGTTTAGACTGGACCTGAACTCCGTGAACACTGAAGAAGGCAGCCATTTGGTGAAGATATCCGCATATTGTGAAGAAGTGGGAACATGCAGAACACGAAGATCACCAATGGCGACTCGCTCCCGGACGAAGTGAAGATCAATCTCAATGTGCTTGGTTCGCTAATGTTGTATCGGGTTGGAGGTCACGTAGACAGCACTAATGTTGTCGCAATACACCAGTGTGGCGCTCCGGAGAGGTGCATGCAGCTCTAGAAGAAGCTGGCGCAGCCAGGTGGCCTCAGCAACTCCATTGGCCACCGCGTGATACTCGGCTTCAGCACTGGATCTTGACACCGTGTTCTAGCGCTTGGAGGACCAGGAGACAATATTGTCGCCAAGAAACACAGCATAGCCCGAGGTGGACTTGCGGGTGTCTGGACAACCAGCCCAATCAGCGTCGGTGTAGACGACAAGATCAGCCAAAGTAGACGGTCGCAGCAGGAGACCAAGGTGGAGAGTGCCTCGAACATAGCGTAGAATCCGCTTCAGAGCTGCAAGGTGAGGCTCACGAGGGTCATGCATATGAAGATAAACTTGCTGCACAGCATATGCAATATCCCGTTGGGTGAACGTTAGGTACTGTAAGGCTTCAGCGAGGCTGCGAAAGTCTGAAGGGTCAGAGACAGGGGTGCCATCTGCTGCAGCAATCTTCGGATTGGTGTCAACTAGAGTGGAACACGGCTTACACTCTGCCATCCCGACGCGGTCAAGAATGTCCAGCATATATTGTCACTGAGAAAGAAGAAGGCCATCACCACTACGCTGAACATGCATACCGAGGAAGTAATGCAGTTCACCAAGATCCTTCATGGCGAACTCCCGCTAAAGGGCTGAGATGATCCGCCAGAGAAGGCCGGTTGAGGAGGCTGTGAGGACGATGTCATCAACATAGAGCAACAGGTAAGCTGTGTCTGATCCGCGCTGGTAAACGAAGAGTGAGGTGTCTGACTTGGCTTCATCAAACCCAAGGGACAGCAAGTGTGTGGCCATGCGACTGTACCAAGCATGAGGGGCCTGCTTGAGGCCATATAGCGACTTCTTCAGGTGACAAACATAGTCCGGATGAGCTGGATCTTTGAACCCAGACGGCTACTGACAATAAACTATCTCTGTCGGGTTGCCATGAAGAAAGGCGTTCTTCACATCAAGCTTGTGGATGGGCCAATGGCGAGAGAGAGCCAGGGAGAGCACCGTGCGAACAGTAGCAGGCTTCACCACGGGACTGAATGTCTCATCAAAGTCTACACCAGGCCACTGGGTAAAGCCACGGAGAACCCAGCGTGCCTTATGCCTTTCGAGGGAGCCATCAGACTGAAACTTGTGCTTGAAGATCCACTTGCCGGTGACGACGTTGGCCCGAGGGGGGCGAGGCACGAGATCCCAAGTGTGATTCTTTAGCAGGGCACTGTGTTCCTCTTCCATTGCAGCTCGCCACATGGGGTCAGCAAGAGCGCTACGGAAGGTCTTCGGTATCGGTGACATAGACGTAGAGTGGTACGCAGCAGGCATCCGAAAACCGCTCTTCGAATGTGTGCCCATGGCGTGCTGGTTGGTCACAGGAGGGACAGCAACAGCCCCTTTGGGCAGTGGGGGCGGTGCGGCGGATGCAGGCGCAGCTTGGACGGCTGGTGCAGGTGCAGCCGGGGCGGCGGTGACAGGAGCAGTTGGAGCAGGTTGTGGTCGAGGCCGACACATGTAGTGGTAGGCAAAGGTGTAGTCTGGACGAAGAGGCGAGAACCCGAGCAGGGGCCCACGGGGTGCCTGAGGAGGTGACACCGGCGCTGTGGAGCCAGCGGTCGGTGCTGTAGACTACGAGCTCACGCGAAGCATTGGCAGGATGTACAGCTAGCGAGGTTGAGTGCCTCTAGTCGTGCTGGGCGCGTCCTGAGCTACGCGTGGAGCGGGAGGGGTCCCTGGCGTCCGCAGCGCAGGCAGGATGTAGAGCGCGGGCGTCGGGGGATCAGCAGTGTCTGCTGGGGGATCAGTAGCAGCCACCGGAGGCGTCGGGGACACCCTAGGCACAGTCTCAGAGGGATCAGCAGGGGCGCTGGTGACGTCAGAGGTGTTGGATGGTGTTCCTGCAGATAAAAACTTGTGCAACGGTCCAATAGGAGCAGGCACAACATCAGTAGCATCAAGAAACTCAAAGTCCATCGGAATACTAGGACCATTGTGCTCAGCAAAGGGGAAGGCCATTTCATCGAAGATGACGTGCCGGGAGATGATGACTCTATTGGTGGAGAGGTCAAGGTAGCGGTATCCTTTGTGGTGAGCAGAATAGCCTAGGAAGACGCACAAGGTAGACCTAGGAGCGAGTTTATGAGGAGGTGGCAGACAGGTTTGGATAACACTTGCAGCCAAAGACTCATAGGTGATCATACGCCGACGGCGTGCCGTAGAGGGCAAGGTGGGGCGTGGAAAACTATAGAGTCTTGGTGGGCAGTATGTTAAGCAAAAGGGTCGCTGTGGAGAGGGCCTCCGCCCAATAGGAGGGAGGCATAGACGCCTAAAAAAGTAGTGAACGAACGACATTATTGATGGAGCGAATAATGCGTTCGGTTTCACCATTTTGAGGTGAGGTGTAGGGGCAGGACATACGAAGATGGATGCCCTGTGTGAGGAAGAAGTGACGGGTGCTAGAGTTGTCAAACTCTTTCCCATTGTCGCACTGTACAGCCTTGACGTGGGCGCCAAATTGGGTGTAGGCGTGGGTGATGAAGTGGGCAAGCGTACTGTAAGTGTCAGATTTGAGTTGCAAAGGAAAAGTCCACAAGTAGTGAGTGCAATCATCAAGTATGACCAAATAGTATTTATAACCAGAAACACTGACAACTGG